GACAGTAAATAAACACACAACTTAATAAAATTGCAAATGAAATGGTTGTTTTAATTTGAAATAAATGTGTAATGAAAATATGCTAGTGAATTGGATGTAAGGAGCATGGACAGGTGGAGATGAGTACCTAGACTTAACTGCAAACAGAAAGAACAGAATAAAAATGCAAATCATGAATGACTGATAACCTGATGGGATGTAGAATGTAAACAAAGCAAGAACCATTATTCTCCATAAAACTAGTAAAAACTCATCTCCATATTGTGAATTTATTTTTAAAACTAACGAGTACTCACACACGGATTGAATTGAAAGGAATCACAAGTGGACAGATCAATAAAGGAACACTGCAAGATGAATTGTGAACATAACTTACTGGAATCAATTATGACCATAATCCAATATAATAAATTTTAACTTCTTCAAACTAAAGAATATTAGTCAGAGATGAATACAAACAAAGTAAAAGCAAGGACAAAACTTAACCAAAATTATCAATGAATAAATGATATAAATTTCCATACCACTCACCAGTGCAACTGAGTGCCCAGGCTGAGTGAGATACTGAGTAAGAATCCAAATACTTAAGAGTGATAATTCAAGTTTGCAAATGATAATTTGGTCATCTACACTGAAAAAGATAAAAAATATTTAATTTAAATTGAGTTGGATTGAGAACTAAAGAAATATGATAATTAGTAAAGAGAGACATGAAGGTTGGGCTACACAGTAGCCTAATTTAACCTCCGGTAACAACACTGTCTCTTATACACATCTAGATGTGTATAAGAGACAGGCATTGCANTTGGCTGCTTAATGCCAGGCCTTCCTTTGTGGAGTGACCAGCGCGTCATTTATCCTCGTAGAGTTTTGTTAAGGGACCTAAAACCCGCCTCCCTTTGAGGAGCTGTCACAAAGTCATTTTTCGACGTACAGGGACGATACTTATACCGTTCGATGCGCAAGAAAACAACCTTTAAGATGAGATAAGAAACAGAAAAACTCAAAATTTTCAAATTTTAGCTAGGGCGGTCCCCTTAATAATCTTTTCAATAAAAAGTTCACTAATTATTTGAATGCTATTACACAATAATAATTTTAACATGTATTTAAATATTAATTTTAATAATAAATTCAATAAGAATTTAATAATAATTTCAATAACATATTTAGTAGGTAGCATTTTTTATACTAACCTTTGATAATTTTAATATAAAACTCAGGAAATAAATAAACATTCAATATAAAACTTCTTGCTATGTCCCTAAGGTGTCGGAATATGGTGTGTTTACCCCATACTCAGTTGCCAGTGCGGGCAGTGCCTTGCTCATAGCCTCATTGCTCAACCGTACTGAAAAATTCATAACCATGCTCCAGGCTGCACCATCCCATGCAGGCATGCATGACCAGACCATCTGGCCCTGGCTCTCTATCTGGGTAGGCCCTCCAGTTAGATAATGGTTACTAAAATGCATGCATCCTAAAATGCACGTGATACTGACTACTGGCAAAGCAGAGACTTTTTTTAGACTCTACCTCAAGTTCATTTCTGAGTCCTAGGGGACATAAGATATGGGGAGATCAGCAAAGTATCATTAATACCTCAGCTCAGGCTTAAACCATCATTATCATACATAAAATATTGGTTTAAATCCTGAGTAAATTATAAATTAAAAAATTAACTGATTCTGAAAAATCTGTTGTTTGTCACTGTTTCAGTGTCTAGACAGTCTGGTTACTCTAGTAGTTAGTTGAACTAACAGAACATCTCAGACTTGCAAACTTACCAAGGCCTTTGCCCTCAGCCAGGAAGGTTGTGCTATAAAGTAGTGTTTACATGTTACAACCTGTTGTCCCTTGCTAAAAATGCTATCTATATTATTTATATATACAGTAAATCCTGCCATCAAGACCAAACTCAATTCATGTCAAAATTTTCCAATATCACAGGCCAACAGGGTTGAAACTTGAAAGAACTATATCATTTTACTAGCCCTTTTTCTAAATTGCAGGCAAAAATATACCCTTTCTCTCATTTTTTTAAAGAGAAGGCTTATTAGCTGCACCAATGCAGGCAAGGCAGGAGTTGAGCTGCAATGAGTAGCCAGAGCGGAGCTGGGAAAGGGCGCTTCTGGCCGCCCTGGGGAGGGATAGCTTGCTGGATGAGACAGAGGGGGCAAGGATCAGCAACACCATGTTAGTAGCTGCTGTCCTGCTGAGGCCAGGTAGGAGGAGACAGCAGAGCTGTGCAGGGTGCTAAGGGCAGTCTGGGCAGTGGAGTAGGAGTCAGGGGGAAGGGCCTCCTCCTCCAGCAGGTGAGAGACCAAAGGGAGGAAGCAGGCCTGAAGCGTGTGCTTCATGGGACAGGGCCCCAATGTCTGGGTGACAGTAGGGTAGCTGCCGCCTAGCTGAGGTGGTGTGGTTGTAGGGTGCTGGCAAGGTATATATACTGTGAGCTGAGCAGAGAGAGGTGTTCTGCCATGGGTAAGACCTCAGCTTTGCTGTGCAGCAGGGTTGGCAATGATTAAATCAAAATGATTAAATCATGTGATTAAATCACTTGATTTTTTTATAAAAAAATCATGATTTTTTTTATTTTTTTGATTTATTTGATTTTTTCATATATTTAAATAAATTGAGTGGCAGTCTTTAATTTATATTGAGGTATTGTTATTCATGGTTTAGTATAAATGTACTATATGAATGACAAATTGGTATATAAACTTGTTGCCTTTAGTGTGTATTAGGTTCCAATAAATTGAATGTTTTTGGTACAGAGGCATCAAGTGTGCAATACATTGTACGTAGCTAGCAGCTTAGTTAATTCTTATAAGGCTATAAGTAATCTTTTAGATGTCCCCAAAGAAAGAAATCGCAAATGCTCAAATCAGGTGACCTCGCAGGCCACTGTAAATCACCCCTCAGAGTCTGGGAACATGCGTTTCAAAACATTGAGTGATATTCGGGCTGTGTGAGCTGTAGCCCCATCCTGCTGGAACCACACGTCTCCCAATGTTTCATTTTCAACAATGTTTTCCATCCTGGGCTGCAAGAAATTTTGCAACATTGCAGCATAGCAATCGGAATTCACTGTCATGGTTACTCCCTGCTCTGAGAACGACTCCAACAGTGTGTTGTAGCTAATGGCCCCCATCTTCCAGATATTGTTTTCAAAACATAAGTATCCTAAATGGTATGTTATACTAACCTCTAGGAAAATAAACTTTCTTCTTTGTGTACCTCTTTTACTCTTTTATTTTACCTCAGAACTGCTCAATCGGTTCTTCCCCACCCTGTATATTGAGAGGTTGAGATTGTATTGACCTTTTAGGCAATTAGAAAGATTTTCCACCCTAATACTAGTATTCTAATTAAAATATTTAATTTCAATCTTTAAATATGTGAATTTAAAACTAGAAAAAAAACAATTACAAATTATAAGACTATATATAAAATAATTAAATGCAGTGAATGGATAGGTATAAAATATTTGAATTGTGCACATGTTTATTTCAAACAGTATTAGCTTTTCTCATAACTTAAGTCTCGTTTCAAGTCGTATGAGGTTTGTTTGGTTATCATTCAGTTTATGTTTAGTATTGGTTTATTGGTCTGAATTAAATGGGAACAGTGCAGTCAGTCACTCAGTCACTACTAGTTGGTGTGTATAGAGGGTAGAGTCTGGTAGATTTATAGGACGTAAAACTAGTAGATCTATTGATTGTGCTGTGCACTGTGCTATCAGCTACCTATCTGTTATGTGACTCTTCAATGTTTAGAAGATCTGCATTCCTGAAGTGTTTTTGTATATTGAAGCCAGTTAAATGGTCAATATTTAGCTCATTACCTTGCTCCATACAAACTTTACAAAGCTAATGAATAGACTTACCAATAATTGTTTACCCAAAAATCCGTAAGTGGTAAGCACCACCGTGGCCTGTTGGCCATTATTGAAGGCAATAAGTGCCCTTTTTAGCCATCCATTATGATCCATATACTGTAATTGTATGTAGGCTAATTGCAACATAAAAAATAGCACTTCAAAAATACAAAAAAGTTGAAAAAAAAAAAAACAAATAAATAAAAAAAATCATGAAAAAATTAAAAAAATCATTGATTTTTGATTTTTTTTATTTTTTTTTATTTTTTTGGTCAAAATCAATGATTGGTGGATTTTGGTAGATTTTTTTAAAACTATTGGTGGATTTTTTAAAAAAATAAAAAAAATCACCAACCCTGCTGTGCAGATAGGAAGCAGATGCCATTTGAAGAGATCCCGTGGCTACATGAAGGGCAGAGTTCTGAATGGCTTGCAGCTTAGAGATTGCCGTAGGAGAGGCGTTGGGGAACCACGCTGGGGCAGCATAGGGGATGAGAAACTTGATAAGCCCCTTGAAAGTTACCAGGAGGGTTTCCTTCTGCTGACCTCAGCTGGTTTCACTTGTTCCAGCAACAGATTTGAAGATGTCGAGGCTCGGGCAGGCACGGACGGGCGCTGTGACATATTGCAGCGATGTGAGGTGAGAAGGTGAAGTGGGGGTCAAAAGTGACCCCAAGGATCTTCAGGGTTTGACAGAGTGGAAGGTCGGACCCCTCCCAGCTGACATGAGGGTTGGTTTGTGATTTATGGGTGTCAGAGGTGAAAAGGGTAGTGTGGGATTTGGGGATAGATACCAATAACCCTTCTGACGAGCCCATCTTTCATCTCAAAAGTCTCTCATTTGCCATCCTGTCAGATAGCCTGTTAGGTGAGGGTTACTAAAATGTTGTGTTATATTAATTTAATTTTTTGTAGTTAGATCAACTAACCAAACTACATTTCAGCCTCCTAAATTTACCTAGGCCTTTGCCCATTGGGTTTGATCTGTCCAACAACTGCTGCCTGGCTGGACATAATGTGCATTGTGAAGAACCAAGTTGTTTGAAAGTTGTGGTTCTTGCCGTTACTTTCCTCTTTAAACTATTTATAATGATAAGTTCTAATTTTTTTTTCATTACAGATTTAGAGCTACCAAAACCCAAAGCTCAATTTTCATTTACCATTCTGTATAGTGTGGTTATACTTGAATACTGCGTAGCTGAGCTGTTAAAATTGCCAACTTGGCATCACAAGAAAAAACTATTGGTGGATTGTTACAGAAAATCTTATTCAGAAAATGGCTCAGGTGTCAGACTGGACAAGGGTTGGAAATGATGTCTTTTACAGGTAGGTATCATACGTATGTTGAAAAATTATTACATTGACATTATTAACTTTTATCTATTATCTAAAATAATTCAATTAAATGAGTTAATTATAATCTACTTTAAACTCACAGTATGAATCTGTAATCCAGCAAATATAAATAAATGTAAGAAATAAAAATCCATATAATGTCTATAATATGGAAATATCTTTCAATTGAAATTTTTCTCTGATAATTTAATTATTTTCAATGTTTTGTTTATCACTCTAGTTGCATCCATAATAGCTAATATTTTTTTGTTTGTATACTACATGTCATTTCAGATTATTTTCTTTTTCAATGTCATGCCAGCCCATCATATTACTCAATAATGAATAATGTTTATTCGAGACTTAATATTATAATAGAATGTGACTTGTGAACCTTATTGGTACTACTACTGATTCTACCTTTAAAATCCTGCAAAATATTTTAATTGGTCTAATTGTGAAAAACAATAATGAAAGTGTTTATAATAATTACTCTCTAGTCATTAACTAAACCTGCATTGAAATCTAGATGAAAACATATTTTTTCATTTTTTTCAAATATTTATTTACTTCATTTAATCTTTAATTTTAATTGTGAAGATAACACACATTTAGTGTTTATTTTGGATTTACTGGTATGTTTAGACCTTTAGCTATCTTAGTTCCAGGCTGTAAAATAAATATTTTTGAATCAAGATAGTGGTATCTTTTTAAGTTCTCCATTAAGCCATCTTGATCTTAAATTAATGTCATGGTCAGATAACAAACTATTGATCAATCTATTAACATCATGTCGATTGACATCTGCTGCCCCTTCTGATTAGTTACCCATCACTTGCAAGAATTGTATACAGTATCTATATTATTTGCATGTCATTGTCCATCATTAGCCATTGGCCATATCAATCTTATATTACAATCTGTGGAAAAGAGAATTGGCTTTAACATTCCTCCTTGATCAAACCTCCTGGTCTTTCTAACTATGAATTTGGCATCCTCACCCTTTATTGTGCAATTCTTTCCAATCTGGTCTTGATTTATCCTAAATTATGGCATCCATGTCAAATTCAGTAGGAATTCAAATAATTCTTCTAATTCAAATAATTCTTCTAATTCAAATAATTCTTCTTGTTCATTAGGATTATCCTATGGAAGAGCTAAAACCATCCATTCTTTTCCTGCTGTTATTTTACAAACCTAATTTATGTTGTAAAAATGAATTAAAATTGTGAATTTTCTACTCATGATATTTGTAATATTTTGTAAAATGCTTTAGAGAGATTTCAGTTAAATATTTGCTCAGGTTTCATAGCCTAAGTTTATTCTTATTGGCTGGAAAAGATTATAGATAAAGTTTTCTGTTAGTATGTACCTATATAAATCTAAGACAAATGAAATATTTATCTAATTTATTTCAATTTTATAAATTAGGTACCTACTGTTATAAATTGAAAAAATGAAAATTATTTAGAAGTGCTCATGTACATGTCACAGATTCTGACTGGTAGATCAAAGTGAGAAATGATTCTTAGTTCTCTGTCCCCCAAAATTGATTTGATTTACCGGTATATTAAACCTTTCAAGAAGATTGTGATGGAATTTCTATGAGAACTAATTTCTTATCATCATATTGAATAAATTATTGCCACTTTGTGCAGTCTCTAATGGATTGAAATCTATTTGAGACTCAAAATGTTACCTGTAATATTGATGTCCTTTGAAATTCAGAAATTTTTGACATGTAAAACAGTTTTGACAGTCTATACCACTTTACCTTTATGGTCTTTATGGTAAAGTGATAATATCAACTCTGCTGCCACAAACTGGACTTTGGAGCCCTTAATTTATAAATTTTGCAGCTTCTGAAAATTATGGGGCTTGAATTAATTTTTTGAGCCATGACCCCATTTTATAAGCTAAGGAAAATAGTTTTAGAACTGTAAACTCGTATGCCAAACCATGGATTGTACTATGTCAAATGTTAATTTTTGTACTATTGATATTGCAAGAAAAATATATTTCTTCGCTGTTGACTTGATTTACTTATGAAAATCAATAGGTCGCATTGATTGCTGATCAAAATATATGATAAAATATTGGTTTTTTGTTTCAATAAAGTTATTCAGAGTTTGATTTCTGTAAGCAAGTTGTCTGAATTTTGGGCATGGAAATTTCAAGGCACTAGATTTTGTTTGAAATGGGTACCTACTGAACTTCAGAGGTGTTGGGAGATAAATATTTCTTTAATATAAAGGGATTTTGGAGCTGCCATATTTCAGTCAAATTAGAAGTTTTCCAATCTTGTTGGTATGTGGAGTAACAAATGCAATGGCATGCAAAACATCTACTATTTTATTCTAACTGGAAGCATTCCAGAAGAAAATACTGCCAGAGTATTTTCTATGGTATAAAGAAATTACCGGTATTGTGTATAAAAATAAAGAAAAATATACTGAGTTATTTTTAATCTTGAAATAATTTAGTATGTGCTTTGCTGAAAAATGCTTTAAAGCAAAATTTTGTAAACCAAAATTTTGTGTCCACCTTGAGCAAGTCCTTGAGCATACTTTTCCAATTTTTTTGAAAAATGAATACTATACATCCATACAACCCAATACTTTTCTCCTTCAAAGGAAAGCTGAGTTGTACACTATGGAGTGGGGAGGAGGGATCAATGTTGAAGAGGTGCTGCTGAGTGGCGCTCCTTATGGTGGTCCGATTGCACTCACGTGGCTGCAAGAAGGTCGCACTAAACACAGAGCGCCCCAGAGTCCCGCAACTCCCACCATTGTCATATTTTCAGCTGCTGGAGTCAAAATGGGCATTATAAAGGTTTTCCATCCTTTGATTATTTAACTTATTAAAACTTTATCAGGTTTTAGCCTAGTGTTATTTTATGTACATATGCCAGTTATTTGTAAAAAAATTAATTTCCACATTTCTTCCTAAAATGTACCTACCCCCCTCCTGGATACCAGCATCATCATACATAAGAAATTGGTTTAAATCTTGGGTAAATGAGGAAATTAGGTATATAGCAAATGCTTTGTATTACCGTACTTTTTAATTTTGTTCTTCTTGACTTTATGAAAATACCAAAATAGGAATTGGAAGTACAAAAGAATTGAGGGGTCTGTTTTTGTTTAATTATATTTATATTTTTGAAATTTTAAATGTATTTATTGTGCACCTAACTTTATTTGAGATTTTTCTTTGAATGCTTTTGGTGCTCCAACTTGATATGTTTATTTTCAACTTGTCTTGGAAATTACAGTGGGGCAATGCTCCGCTGATTGCAATGGGCTGGACGCTCTCTGAGGACCTGTTATGCGTGCAGCAAGATGGCGCAGTGTCAATGTATGACATGTTTGGCAACTATAAACAGACTTTCAACATGGGCCCGGTAAGGGTTTAAATTCTGGTTACTTAACAAATATTTGATCAGTCTTTTCTGAAAAATAATATTTGGTGCAGAATTAACTATTTCAACTGTAGACATTTTTTCTAGATAGTACCCTAAGCTGTTTAAGAATAAATTTTTTACAAAAATGTTGGAAAAGTTGAGTTTCTTTGTTCTATTAATCTACAAACTAACTGTAAAGTACCATTTTATTTCTGCTTCAGTTTAACACTAACTAAAATCTTCCTAAATGTTGATTTTCATTTAGTTTTATTGTAGAAACTCAGAGAGATGCTCATTATCCATGCAAAACATTCCTTAATGCTTCATAATTGCCATGCTATCATTATTGATTCATAAAAGCTGATAATTTCTACTGGAACAGATTTGTATTAATAAATTAAAATTTTCACAATTTGGTATCATTGTCATTTATATTTATTTATTTATTTAATTTTTGCAGGAGGCCAAAGATACAGGCATTTTATCTGCTAAAGTGTTTGAAGGAATCCAAGGCACTGGCGTTGCTGTGCTCACTGCCACCCACCGACTCTATGTCATTGCCAACGTTGCTGAACCAAACCCAAGGAAATACGCAGATTTCCCTAGTGTGTATTTGCTAAACACTTATTTTAATGCAGTATTTCATGATTTTATACAATTTTTTTATGTTCAGCTTGAATTATTGTGCAAGATTGTTACTTGCGATGAGGAGGCAGGTTGTATCCCTGGAGGAGGTTCTTAGAACTTGTTCATTATACGTTCAGAATTTTTCAACATTGGGCATTGTTAAAATCCATCAAAATGATTTTTTTTTATTGTAAGACGATTATGAAAGAATTGGTTCTGTGTGCTACCTATATATAAAACAGCTGATGAAACTAATGTTCAATGTTAATCCCATTATAACATTTTAGGTATGTCAAAGTTTAATTTTATGTTCATCAACTTCAATAGCCTAATTGATAACTTGCTGTTTCTTGTTGATAACTATTAGAAATAGGCTCCTGAATTAGTCGCTGTGTTCAGGTGCTGATGTCTCGTGCTGGACGGTGCTGAGAGAGGAGCGTGCGCTGAAGGTGCTGCTGTGCCAGCACGATGTGCTGTGCTGGAGCAGTGCTGCCAACACTCGTGCTGATGTTGTCCAAGTTCGTATATGAAATTCCTTTTACAATGCTGACTATTGTACTAATCGGGCTCGAAAGGATGACGTCACGGCACCGAATCGCCAGATGCATTGTGGGATTGGCCGCCATATTTGTAGCAGGGTCTAGCTTTCGCCTACGTGGTAAATCTACTGTGCTCGTCTCTTTTTGAAGTTTTTGTTTGGAGATGGGACGCTTGGCACCATTGTAGGATGTACCAGTCATTCTCACGGCCATTTAACCAGAAAACTATACAATGGAATGCGTTTATTCAGTTTACTAGCCTTGAATGCCGTGTATATCGTATCAGTTTCTGGCTCGTACTGATATACGTATCGCGTATCAGTTTACAGCTGTGAATATTTATTATATACGATACTATACATTTTCCAGGGGCAAAATCTGTTACTTGTCTTTAGATAAGCTACATAAGTAAGTGGTCTGAGGTGTCACATGAGCGCGTCCAATATCGGAATCGGTATTACAATTACTATGAGCCGTCCGAACCCTGGCTACTTGGTAAGCATTGATAAAATTCTATCCTTTTCCTCTTCAAAAAGATGAGAAGGAATTTCATTTTCCATTCTTAAAAGGTTCCATTCATCAGCATCATTATCTTCGTCCAGTTGTACTACCAAACTAACTCTACCAGGTACATCGCCTTTCTTGGTTCGTTGAAGTTTCGTTTCTCCATCGCCTGTACCCATCCATCCACAAATTGTTTGTAAGCTTCAAGCGTATTGTATGCCTTGAATACTTGCAAGGTGTTTGGCTGACCACCAAACACCAAATAGTTCAGTAAATCCCCGTGTTAAACGAGAGGCAGGCTTGAAAAATCTGCGCATCACGGCTTTGCCGGCACTTCGTTGGCATCAACATCGTTAATGTCGAACAATTTTCTTAAATATCGGTCTCTCACTGAAGGAAGCAGTTTTTGACAACAGTATAATCCTTTCTGCTTTGTTCTTTCTTCCTCTATTGCTACCAAAACATGCAAATGTGTAGGAACGAGAGAGTAAGCTGAGGCGCCAGTGTTATACAAAGATGGCGACGTAGGAACGCGGCTAACGTGGATACGCGGGAGCTTGGCGAGCCCGATAGGATGCAACTTTTATGCAAATTTTTTATGCAGGTCAATTTCTGTTTTTTTTTATTCTTTGTCTATTAATATTTAACCAAAATTCTGTTTTGAATGAATCTTTAGATGAATTTTTCCATGCTATAAAATTACATGGACTAACATTTCAGTAGCAAATCTTTTAGCTTAACTTCATTTGAAGTTCAATATTTTCTTGGATGGTCTATAAGATTGAACCAATGAAAAAGAATATCTTTTCAATTTTATAGGTAAAACGTTTATTCAACAAAATTTATGTGGAATCTAATGTGTTATTGTCCAATGTAATTTTGTTATTCATCTCAGTAAATATTTTAAATCACTAACATACATATACAGGCAGGCAACAACCTCTTACCTTTTCATGCAAGTTTTAAAATTATTGGGCAATTTGGCATAAAATGAATTGCACTGTAGTTTTGTGCTTAGTTATTTAGGGTGTGCAATAACTTACATTTTTTGACAGTGCAATGATAACAATTTTATGCAGGCACTAGCAGGTATTGCAGGTAATGAAGTAAAAGTCATTATAATCTTTGAAATAAATAAACACTGTCCTTGCATAGTGGCAAAAAAGAAATTTTTTTAGTTGCCAGTTCAATTTTAGTTTCCTAGTTTACTTCAAGATTTCATTCAATGCTGGCATCCATGATACTTCTGCTGTCTATTCAACAGCCTTAAAAAGTTTACAATTAATTAGAAAGTTGACAATTAAATTATATTATCTATAATTATTATAATGTCGAGAATTAAATTATATTATATAGGTAATTATAAATTATAATTTCAACAATTAAAAAGTTGGCCTCAAAAAGGAAGGGCAATTATTAAATTGGCAATTGAATGTTGTAGAATAACTTGGTGATGACAGCCTGAGAAACGTGCAGTAGGTTCAGAGGAAGACCAGACGTGACAGCTAACTTATCTGGTCCCGAGCTGATTCCGTCTATCAGAGATGGAGTTCTTTGAATTTTTATAGTGGGCGATTTATGGAAACTTCCTGATTTGAAAGCTCAATAAAAATTTTTAAAGATATCATTACAATATAAATTTCACTGGATAAGATATCACCGGAATTTTATATCTCTTTGGTTTAAAAATGACATCAGACAAATGATTGCCCCCCATTGTCAATGCATCCAGTTAGTCGATTTCTGAAGTTCCGTTCAACTCGCTGAAGCAAATTGAGGGGTATGTTGGCGATGGCTTGGCGTATGTTGTTCTTCAAATGAGGTACCGTAGGGTTCTTTGACAACCATTGTAAATAATTTATATAAGAAAACCTTATAAAAAATCACACGGGCCAAATCGGGGGATCAGGCCGGCCAAAGAAGGTCGCCTCTCAAGGCCATAACGAAACGGCCATTATAACAGTATGCCTCGACAGCAAACGCACGCTGCTCACTTTTCCAATGCATAATGGCAACTGACTAAGCGGGACACAAAACTTCATAACCTTGCCTTTCATATGAAATACTTTCCACTGTTTTCCTACAATATCTGGCAGAAATACAAAAGAGGAAGTTCCCGTGAATCACCCTGTAAATACGATTCTTGTGTTTTTGTGTAAACACGTGCTCAACACTGTTAAATTGGGCCGAGGTAAAAATTATTGAAGGGTTTTCATGCCCCCCACACTTTACAGAGGGTTTGGTAGACCCCGTAGCCATCGTAAAATTCAACATACTAATTTAAATTCATCACTTTCACAGGCCCCACACGTTACGGAGGGTGTTGAAGACCCCGTAGTCATCGTGAAGGTGAGCGTGAGCAGCAACCAGCGTTGCATTGCACTGCTCAGCGCCACAGGCAAGCTCTGGCTCGGCTCCTCAGATCTGCTCACGAGGTTCACACTTCACGACACGCGCAGCAACGTGTGCCCCAGACACTTGGCGTGGTCAGACTCTAAATTTGTATTTATCTAGAATTAATTGTCTTCCTTCTGTAGAATTATTTTTTTTACTTTAAAAATAGTTATTTAAATTTAGAATTAGTCGCCTTCCTTCTGTAGAATTAGTATTTTTGATTTAGAAATGGGGATTCTTAATTTACAATTGTTCGCCTTCCTTCTTCAGGTAGTCTTTTTGCTTCACAAAATCATTTAGATTTAGTATTATTTGCCTTCCTTGTTTAGAATGGTATTTTTGCTTTAGAAATAGTCAATTGAATTTTGAATTTGTCGCCTTCTTTCTTTAGAATAGTATTTTTGCTTTAGAAATTGTTATTTGAATTTAGAATTAGTCACTTTCTTTAATTAGAATGGTCTTTTTGCTGTAGAAATAGTCATTTGAATTTAGAATTAGTCGCCTTCCATCTTTAGGATTAGTCTTCTGCTTTAGAAATATTTGTTTGAATTTAGAATTACGGTAGTCGTCTTTCTTTAAAAGTAGGCTTATTGCTGCAGAATTTGGTAGTATTTTTAGCGCATTTCCTCATTTATGGAAAAAATGCCCTATTGTGCTCGCCATGTCCGTCTGTCCGTCCGTGACTTCACGTTTTCGTCGACGAGAAAATGCGCTCTCTGTCACTCACTGCAGTGAGTCCTGAGTTATATTTTTTTCGTGAATTTAGTCATAACCACATTAAGAAAACATAATTTTTAATTAAATTCTCACGTAACCTTACAAGAATTCTGAATTAATTCTCACAAAACCTCCCCAGGCCTCTTGCCTGGTGAGGCTGGAAAGTTAAATGATTATATTGGTGCTTAAGTATTAACCACTGCAATCGTCTCGTTGCTAAGACAGGAAAATTCCCCGGTTATTTCTTAATGTAAATCCTATGACTTTCATCACTTTCATTCGTATTTGCAGAGTCTGCACTTGCTATTATTATGTTTTATAGAGAGTTCAGTATAATATTGCATTGCTTCGTTGTTATTTTGGCAAGTAAGGTCAGTGTGATTTTTATTCTTCTGTCTCGGTGGGAGCTCAGCAAAATATCCTGAGTTTTCTACGTATTTGTTTGGTGCAGCTGCTATTATTTTGTCTTATTATGATCTAAATGAAATATCTTATTATCATTTTTACACATTTTATTTGTCTTATTATGATCTGAATGAAATATCATATTATAATTGTTACACATGTTATTTTTTTAATGAGATACGTATCTTATAATAATTATTACGCATGTTATTTTTCTAATTATGACCTGAGTAAAATATCATATTATAATTGTCACACATTTTGTTTTGTCTTATTATGATGTGAATTGAATATCTAAGAATTACGTACTTTCACACATTAGAATTGTTACACATTTGATTTATCTTATTATGATCTGTTTGAAATATCATATAATAATTATTATACATTTTTTTTGTCTTATTATGATCTTAGTGAAATATCATATTATAATTGTTACACATTTTATTTTATCTCATTATGATCTGAATGAAATACCTAATACAATTGTTACACATTTCATTTGTCTTATTAAGATGTGAGTGAAATATCATATTCTAATTGTTACACATTTTATTCCTCTTATTATGATCCGAATGAAATATAAGAATTGTTACACATTTTACTTTGTCTCATTAAGATCTTTCTTATAACAATCGTTACACATTTTAGTTATGTCGTTAAGATCCGAGTGAAATATATTCTAATTACCACACATTGTACAGGTGTGGGAGCGGCAGCGTGGTGCTGGTATGGGAGGTAACCCTGCAGCTCGTGGACATCACGGGTAGCGTAGCCACGTTCTACCTGGACTCTCCTGTACATGTGGTGCAGGAGCTGGACTGTGTGCGTCTTGTGGGCGACACCTCGCATCACATCCTCTACAAGGTGCCGTATCTTGCCCTTTGGCATCGAATAATAAGGTCAAAGTAGAATAATAAGGTTTTCGCATCTTCCAAGGTGACGTATGTTGGCCTTTTTTGGGGGTAATAAGTCGAATATTAAGGTTTTAGTCGAATAATAAGAGCTTGCCATCTACGAAGTGTGACTACCCTCTTTTGGGTGAGAGAACAAGTCAAATAATATGAGCTTCATGCCTAAAAGCAGCCGCTATACTTACCCTTGTTGGGGGGAAGAAGTCTAATAATTATGATTTCGCGTCTACAAAGTGCTTGCAAGTTTTGTGCTCTGGGAGTAATAAGTGACAGGGAATCATATGTACAAGGTGCGTCAATTTTCCTCTATGGGAAAGCAGTTAGCAAAATAATAAGGACTATGTTTCCACAAAGGCACCTACAATACTGCATTATGTTGAAGTATACTGCACAACATGCAAACAAATACCAGGAAACTAAATATTTGTTTAGCTTTAAAATAGAACTGCGTAGCAGAGATAAGTTCTTATTGCGTTTTTCTGATTCTTTGTTTTGTGCACTACCATATTTTATCAATCACTATAATAAGCAAATACACAGCTTGTTGAACTGTTGTCTTGAATTATTCTGTATAAAGAGTCAAAGGTTCCTTATACACTGATTATGTTCATTAAATCAGTGTTGCATTATAAATGATCAAATGACAATCTCGATAAAGAATATTGTATCAGTTCAATGAAATGGTTCCAGAAACATTAGTGGTCCAAATCACCTATAAGGATGTTAATATCTATCAGTTATTAACGATTCATTTTTATTATTTATATCATTGACCCCAAAATCCGAGCATTCATTAATATATGCCTGATTATGATTAACATTTTTCTCAACGAATTACTGGCGGGCAATTATTGACGATTCTTTTTACATTTTTATATGCGGAGTATTGTTGCAAAAGTTCGAGTATTCAATAATATATGATTCTGATCAACACTTTTCTCTCAAAGAATTACTGGAAGGCAAATGATGTTTGTAATTAATGCAGGTTTTAATTACTCGTTACGGAACAGGTCCCTCACGCATCAGTCGAGACGCTGGGTATCGGGTCCATGTCCCCGGGAGCGCTGCTTGTGGAAGCCCATCTTGGATACGAGGTGAATTATTGGAGAAATTAATTAAATAATAATTAATTAATTAATGCATGATTGTAATTCTGATAATAAAAATTTAGATTTAATATAAGTTGTTTGTTCCATCATGGATAAGGCGATGATGATCATGTTTCAAGTTATTTTCTGCAGTCTATAGGCATTTGATGCCGTATTTTCTACCAGCTACCAACAAAAGTTATTCTTGTTGCAGACTGCAACATAATCTAACAATTTGTCTTGTTGCAGTATAATATAACAGTTTTGTAACGTTTCTTCCTGACTGTTAGAGTTCAAATAAAGTCTACTCAAGTACCGATGAGGGAAATAACGACATTGTGAACTCTTATTTGTAATATCAAACAGAAGACTAATGACTGAATATGAGTTCAGGTTTTTATGAGATACTACAATATGAACTTGAATTACACGAGATGCGGCGCATGGAATGGCTGTTAACTGAGACCGTCCTAGCTCAACAAAGTCCTCGCTTAAAATTAATCCTTATATAATATATGCTGTAGTCAGGATAAGTATAGGTACTATCATAGATCTGTCACACTCGGCTTTTCATATTTACTAGATATATTTATAGTTTAGCAAATATTCGTAATAAGAAAACAAATCTTCGAATTTAGATGTTCTGCTCTATCTTATAATATGACTGTAATGAGCGACTGTCGCACTCATTTCGCACTCAGTTACAGCACTAATAAAATATTTTTGATAGCTGTTCTCATACATACACCTTGTGAACAGCTTAGCTATTGAGCAATACCGTTAATGAGTGACAAGTTAATTGAACCATCCGTTTGACGGCGTCCTTAGTATTCTCTATTATCCAAATATATTATTTTTGTTTTACTTTAAAATCCTACATTGAAAGAATTAAATAACCTGCACTAGTTTCATTCATACCATTTATTTGTAATCTTGAAATAATCTCTGTATTATCAATCTAAGGTGCTCTGTACTGATTAATACACACATTTATTTGGTACTGTACATACTACAGGGATCAGTCTTCGGACTGATCCTCTTCCTGTTATATACTGTCGACGTGTTTGAATCCGCACATGCTCGTTTAATTCACTATGTCAAGGATTAAAATTCAGTCTCATAGTTGGAATCTACACATGTTCACACGACGACACCCAAATACTGTCCGTCGGCTGACGTTGCAGCGTTGCAGGACCGGATGTCTGTCTGCATGGACGCTGTCTCAGACTGTATGCGCTCTGACCAGCTCCAGCTCAATGCATCATGAATCGACTTTATTTGGATTACGACTGCTCGGCACCAGCATCAGCTTCCGGCCAACCCTGTCCGCGTGGGTAACGAGTTCGTTATGCCTGCGTCTGCAGTTCGTAACCAGGGGCATTCTGTTGGACTCGGAACTTTCTATGAACAATCACATTGTCAAAGAACAGTCATGCTACACTCTCTGGACTTCCGCCCACCGCACTTACTAAACTGCAATCCGTATTGAACTCGTGTTTAATAAGCGAAAATTCGACCACGTGACGCCGATATTGCGCGATCTTCACTGGCTACGCATGCAGCAGCGCACGCAGTTCAAGGTCGCTGTTCTGAGGTTCCGATGCCTTCACGGTCTGGCGCCTCCTTATCTCACGGAAGGTCTGCAACGCGTGTCGGATCTGCCTTCTAGAAGACGACTGCGTTCGTCATCAACAGCGTCATCCTTTCATTCCATCTAAATTCTGAACGCTTATCTACCGTCGGCGACAGAGCGTTCCCGGCCGCAGCCGCCAGAACCTGGAACAGTCCGCCGGCTTCCGTAACTTAATTCGGCTATTGCGTTGCAGGTGTTTCGTCGACGCCTCAATACGGAACTATTTCGTAGAGCCTATGAATCAAGTGCTTAGTTATTTTTGTCCGTTATCATCCTTTCTCGTTCTTTTTATTTTTCGCTTGCTATTAATCTTATGTGTAATGGTACCCTCGAAGCTCGTTTGAACCAGACGCCACGATAACTGCTTCGTATAATAATAATAATAATAATAAATATGATAAAAAATATAACTCAGTACTCACTGCAGTGAGTGACAGAGAGCGCATTTTCTCGTAGACGAAAACGTGAAGTCACGGACAGACGGACAGACAGACGGACAGACAGACAGACGGACATGGCGAGCACAATAGCGCCTTTTTTCCCATAAAGAAAAAATGCGCTTAAAAGGTTAATAATAACAATAACAATTACGTATAATGATAAAAATAAAAAGATTTTAAATGAACCGCTGTGTTGATAATTTATTTGTTAATATATCAGGAAGAGTCACCGCGTGCCTATGACTGCCTGAAGCTGATCCAGGGCAAGGAGGAGGAGGCCGTACACACCTGCCTAGAGGCTGCCAGGCACGACATGAGCGTGGACAACGTCAAGCTGCTGCTCAAGGTGATTGGCTGCTCAAGGTGATTGGCAAATGATTGGCTGTTCAAGGTGATTGGCTGCTTAAGGTGATTGGCAAATGATTGGCTGCTCAAGGTGATTTGCTGCTTAAGGTGATTGGCAAATGATTGGCTGCTCAAGGTGATTGGCGGCTGATTGGCTGCTCAAGGTGATTGGCGGCTGATTGGCTGCTCAAGGTGATTGGCAAATGATTGCCTGTTCAATGTGATTGGCGGCTGATTGGCTGCACAAGGTGATTTGGCGGCTGATTGGCTGCACAAGGTGATTGGCGGCTGATTGGCTGCACAAGGTGATTTGGTGGCTGATTGGCTTCTCAAGGTGATTGGTGGCTGATTGGCTGCTCAAGGTGATTGGCGGCTGATTGGCTGCTCAAGGTGATTGGCGGCTGATTGGCTGCTCAAGGTGATTGGCGGCTGATTGGCTGCTCAAGGTGATTGGCTGCTGATTGGCTGTTCAAGGTGATGACTGCTCAAGGTGATTGGCTGCTCAAGGTGATGGTGATAAACTGTTTCAGGTGAGAAGTGGAGCGTATTTTTATTTAAATCCGTCAGGTTTCTCGAGCCGCTCGATATAAGGCTTAGCTCTAGTAAGAGTGATGTTAACGATGCTCTTCATGGTGGGTTCTTGAATTTACATTAAGAAATAAATATTAGGTACTAGAAGATTCATCTGTTACAAAAAATTTCTACTTCATTTCTGTGTAGCAGAACAATTTTGTCAAGTCTTCCGTTGGTGTTTATGGTCACTCATTAACTATGATCTAGTGAATTTATCGAATTACGTTCACAATTTCCTAATTGAAGTCATCATTAGGGGAAGATAAAACAGCAATGCACAGTTTCTTCAAGGTGCAACTTTCACTGTAAGGGCTTAATAGTTTGATTTGTAACTTGCCTTAGTATTGTTTGATTTATTTTCCTCTCTTAACTTTACTTAGCACTGTCTTATTCAGCTTACATTCCATTTCTCCTTTGAATTATTTCCTCAAGTTTCCTCCCTAACTTTCCTTAGCATTGTCTTATCCGATTTACATTCCAAAGTTTCCTCCCTAACTTTCCTTTGTATTGTTTACTATCAGTCATCGCTGTTCGGCCTTACGTTTCTACCGCCCCTGGAGCCTAACACGTTCAAAGACACGGCTTTGAAACTGCGCATCTTGAACGACCTCCGCTCAAAAAAGATAGGTGAGTATTATCTAAGGACGAATTTAATGTATAAATCACGTTCAAATTACCAACTGAAGTGTTGCATTTTCTCTGATGATAATCGTTACTTCCAATTGTCCATTCTACTGTTAATTTGAAGAGCACAAATTTGTAACATAATTCCCTGTATGCCATTTTTCATATAATTAATAACAGATGTAAAGCATAATTCTCTTACTCGCACCCTTAAATAATTCTTTGTACTCTCTCCTCGAACAATGTTTTAGTCTCCTTGTTACTCACTCATCTAAATGACTATATTCTAACTTTCTATTGTTAAAATGTTAATAGTAATTCTGATCCTTGGTACGTTCCCCTCCATATGACTATATTATAACTCTCTGTTATTGAAATGTTAATAGTAATTCTGACGCTGGTTGCTCAGGGATGCCACTGACATGGCAGCAGCTAGAGAGGCTCACGCTGGAGGTGGCGCTCGAGCGACTCGTTGCCCGAAGATTCTTCCCTGTGGCTTTGGCCATCGCGCGAACTTTGGGCCTCGAGACCCAACTTGTGCCCCGAATATTGGCCCACTGGGCCTGCTACAAGGTATTAAATTCATCAGGTACATGTTTTAAGACACAACTTTTTAGGGTTTTAATAAGCGCATTTAATTTTTAGAATTTTTGGGCTTTAAGTAGAGCAACCTTATTGTTCACGTCCGCACTTTAGGAATGCCACTGGTAGTTCCACGACCATCACTGTCTCGCTGACCCGCCAGAACCATTTTATTGCATTACACAACACCCTGGACAAGCCAGGTACTCATTTATCAACCAGAGTTGGATGAATGGCTGAGTTGACCATGAGCTGAGCTTCTCGGAAGAACTTGTCCTCAGTGGGACTCAAACCCGGGAGCTGGGACCTACAGCTGTCCATCTCTGGCATGGTTTGTCACGTGACCTTACCGACGCACGACATGGACGGACTGCTGGGCGTTATCATCACGCGTATTGAACTTCAAAGTCTGCCAGTCGACATCATCGAGGTCGCAATATCCGACCATCGACTACTTCGGTGAACGGTGTTATGTGTGCGCCCAGTGCCAGCTTACAAGACCGTTACCTGTCGTTCGTGGCGCGGTCTCGAAGGCGATGTCTTGCGTGAAAAGCTGCAGTCGTCCCGACTTTGTCAGCCTGACTCATGGTTGGCACCATAAGTCAACGACCTAGTGCAGCTATACAATACACAAATTATGGCTACTGTGCGCCGGCTTACGCTACAGCGTTGCAGTGTCCGGCTGTCTGTCTGCTCAGACTGGATGCGCTCCAACCGGCTTCAGCTTAACGCATCAAAAACCGACTTTATTTGGCTTGCTACTGCTCGGCACCAGCATCAGCTTCCGGACAATCCTGTTCGCGTGGGCAACGAGTTTGTCATGTCTGCGTCTTTGGTTCGCAATGTGGGCATTCTGCTGGATTCGGAACTTTCTATACACAATCACCTTGCCCATCTGACGTGATTGTTTATACCAAAACAAGCGGTAATCGCTACCGCTTACGGAGTTTCCTTTTTAGCGCATTTTTTCATTTATGGAAATAAGGCGCTATTGTGCTCGTCATGTCCGTTCGTCTGTCTGTCTGTTCGTCCGTGACCACGTTTTCGTTGACGAGAAAATGCGCTCTCAGTCACTCACTGCAGTGAGTACTGAGTTATATTTTGTTCAGGTCGCGAATACGAGCGACAAGACTGACGAACAGCTCGCCCGAGACATCCACTCCAATATGGGCGGGCATTCTGCTGGACTCATAACTTTCCATGAACACTCATATTGCTAATATGACGTGATTGTTTATACCAAAACAAGTGGTAATGCGTTTTCTTTATTTCAGATTGCGAACACGAGCGACAAGAATGACGAGCAGCTCGCCCGAGACATCCACTCCAAGTTGGGTTACACCGCCGGCATCTCCTACACGGAAATCGCCAACTGTGCGCACTCGCTCAACAGAAGGCAACTTGCGGTCAAGGTGCCTGCTAAATTAATTAAGTAATTCATTAATTGAAATGCTAAATTAATTGAGTAATTCATTCTCAGTGAAAATTTACAGACGTTTCAGCTTCTGATTTGGAGTACCAGAAGCTGGGGCGACTCTAAATTTTGTTGGGATTAATTGAAAGAGCGGCATGATGGTATGCTTTTTCGGTCGAATTTTTTTCGAATAGCTTAGAGTAAGGTGGAAGGGATACATTGGGAGTAATTAATGGCGAACCAACCTCAAAGTTGCGTTAATCCTTATGAATCCGTAAATTTTGGCGATTTGTTACAAGACACGTGATAATGAGAGTGACTATTATTAATATGTAATTTGAGAATTTGGTGAAAATTGGGGTATGCTTAATGACTAGCAGAATCGAGCGTGGTAATTGGCATATTTTTTAGTTTAATTCGTGGCATAGTTTAGTTGATTTCGTGTTGAATTATTGGCATATTTAATTGAATTCGTCCACAATCCCGGTGATTCGGGGCCTAGATGCCGATGGTGATTCGTGGCCCAGACGCTGATTCGTAGCACAGATGCTGATGGTGATTCGTGGCCCAGATGGTGATTCGTGGCCCAGATGCCGATTCATGGCCCATTCATGGCCCAGGTGCTGACTATTATCCCCGTTTCAGTTGCTGGGTTACGAGTGCAGGGCGCGGGCCCAGGTGACGGGCCTCCTACGTCTGGAGGAACGGGCGGCCGCCCTCGCCAGAGCTCAGGCCACGGGCGACACCGACCTCATCCTGACGGTGCTCCTCGACATCAAGCGCGCCCTCCCCCTCGGCGAGTTCCTGGTCAGCTCGCAGACTTGAACTATCTACAAATCTACTATCTACATCTACTATCTACATCTAATATCTACATCTAATATCTTCATCTACTATCTACATCTACTATCTACATCTACTCCCTACATCTACTATCTACATCTACTATCTCATTGTTCAATTGATATTGATAACTATCTACATTGATCAATTCTATATGACTATATTATGACTAAGCTTTTAGAATTGATACGAACTAAATTTGATGTTTTTCACTCCTAGTGTACTGTTAGAATTAACCCATATTTGATTGAGTTCTGTAAGTGAGCTCATCAAATAAAAAAAAATCTTGAATATTTTTTAATACTGCTGTACTCATAGAATTAATCAAAAATGAATTTAGTGTTCCTGATGAGCTAAGTGCTCGCAGTGATAGTTCTATTGTTAACAGTACTATCACCATTGTACTTTTCTTCAACAATACTTTGACCATTAATGGGACTATGCATTAATGTATACCTCTGACATTCAGCGCTCGATGTAACTGCCAAGTTCTTGATCATTGCTGAATGTAGAAGATTACACTCTTTAATTTTTGGTATTGAATCACAAGGCGCGAAGAAGTGACAAATTTTAGATTTGGGATTTCAGGTTTACTTGGATTCTGTGTTGTTGACGACAAATGAAAACAAAGATTCTGTAGTTATTTTTGAAAAATCAACTCAAAATCACATACCTACACTGCTGCAACTTGAATGCAGCAGTGTATGTAAACAATCTTATAAATGACATTAACGCCAGAGTGTTGCGCGTTAAATTTCATACAGATGATTTTTGAAAGCTTTTACCCACAATTATTTATCTCTCCTGTAGTTGTGAGACGAACGCGTTAAATACTTCTCAACTGCACAGTTGTGGTACACTTATGATAACGCTGTGCTATGTGATAACGCTGTGCTATGTGATAACACTGTGATATGTGATGACGCTGTGCTATGTGATGACGTTGTGCTATGTGATAACGCTGTGCTGTGTGATAACGCTGTGCTATGTGATGACGTTGTGCTATGTGATGACGTTGTGCTATGTGATAACACTGCTATGTGATAACACTGCTATGTGATAACACTGCTATGTGATAACACTGCTATGTGATAACACTGCTATGTGATGTACAGATGGTGGTGGGGGGATCGCCGCTGTGCCGTGCTGTGTATGCACGGAGCTGTGCAGCAGGGGCACAGGAAGCTCTCAGGGACCTGTACGTACAGGACGACAACTTCCACGAGCAGGCCAGGCTACGTCTCCTCGAGGCCTATGATAACAAGGTCAATTTGGCATCTAGCAATAAAGGATTATTGTTTTTTATATATAAATGCTGATCTGCAGGCGAATGATAACAAGGTTAATTTGGCCTATGACAATAGGGGATTTTTGTTTCTTTATTTTATATTATTATACAAATGCTGCTGTATATATTATAATAATATTATAATATGTACATCTGTATATATTATAATTCCAATGAGGAATTATTGTTTTCTTTAGATATAAATGCTTAAATGGAGGGTTATGATATCAAGGTGAATTTAGCCTCTGACAATAAGGGATTATTGTTATCTTTATATATGAATACTAAACGGTGCACGAGAATGAATAATCTGTTAATTAAGGAGGGAATATATGGTATAAAGATAATGATTTAATTAATCATAGACACATTGAATCGCGTGACGAGATAGTAAGCCATGTATGCTGACACTAAATATAAAACAGATTACATTATTTGCTACGTTTGCTCGACTTGCTCCACTTTCTTGAGTTACAATTCTTCAATCTAGCTGCCGTGTCAAAATTACCTACTGCTATTTTCCCAGATTCAAGAAAACTAGTTTTTAAATTTCTGCGTTAATTGTCATTTTTACGGGAGCAAATGATATGTTTGTAGCAGACATCGTCACAAGACATACCTTCGTTACTTGGGTATAAATTTTAACTTTAACGTTAATTAACGTATAATTTTTTAACATATAATTGCAAATGAGGCTCAGAAACTTTTAATTAACTTCAACATTGCATGAATATCATTAATTGTAATTAGTTAGCTGTTGTACTATGTAGACATCATATGTTGTAAAATGTACACATGTGTTGTATTATGCGCAAGTCATATGTTGTAAATGAACAAATCAGAATTACATTACAGAGAACAGACCTGCGCCTGGGTCTCCTTCAGTCAACTGCTGAGTGCTTCAGGCGCGCCAAGGATGAACTTGGTGTTCAGCTCACCGAGGAACAAATGCGCCTACTGAAATGCCAAGTATATATCTATGGGCTATGATATGATAGCATGATATCTATGAGGTCGACTTACCTGTGAAATTAATTCATACATCAAATCAGTTATTGCCTGTGATGGGGAAAAACTGATAAAAGTTGATACAATTTGTTAACGGGATTTAAGTGGTTACTGATTTATGAATTGTATCGTAAATGCCATATAAATATTCATCGATTTTGAATACAGTATACGCAAATGCATCGTTACTAATTCTACGTCCTACTATTTAGATGTGTAATTTATTATTTTATTGTCAGGTTGGACTGGAAGAACTGCACCACAAGAGCTACGTGAACCTCTCCCTGGTTGACACGCTCATGCAGCTCATACGCGACAACCACATCAAAGATGCTGAGAAAATACGCGCCGACTTCAAGATAACTGAAAAGAGGTTGGTAATTTAATTCAAACAACTTGTAACTACCTTAAATTATGCGCCGACTTCAAAATAACTGAAAAAAGGTTGGTGATTTACTTCAAACAACTTATAACTACCTTAAATTACGCACCGACTTCAAGATAACTGAAAAGAGGTTGGTAATTTAATTCAAACAACTTGTAACTACCTTTAACACGTAAACGATAGGAAACTGTCATTCACATATTACTTGTTATTTTGAATTATGCTGTTTTAAGATCGTGGGATTATTTCTTCGTTCACAATAATGCAGTGTTGTTCCTGACAGCCATTGTGAAGTGCAGATGAAAGTTCGCGTCTTAACTGAAAACCTTCGTGTTTTATCCATATACGGACATTTATGTTGTGTTTCTTGCATTTATTACTGTTGACGTGATTTTGTAAAGAATCTGGTCTTTACAAATTATCTTCATTTTTATCTAATTACGGTTTTAACATAAGTGATTACGACAAACTATTTAAAATAAACTTTTTCTGTTATTAATCCATTGCGATGAAACCGGCACTTTATAAGTATTGGTATTTGCTCTAGCCCATAACAAACTAATTGTAATTGATTTATAGGTATTGGTATTTGCTCTAGCCCATAACAAACTAATTGTAATTGATTAAGAGGTATTGGTATTTGCTCTAGCCCATAACAAACAATTTGTAATGGATTTATAGGTATTGGTATTTGCTCTAGCCCATAACAAACAATTTGTAATGGATTTATAGGTATTGGTATTTGCTCTAGCTGGTAACAAACTAATTGTAATTGATTTACAGGTATTGGTATTTACGAGTGACGGCTCACGCTGCAGCAAATCACTGGCAAGCGCTCGAGCAGTTTGTGAAGAGCAAGAAAACTCCTCCTATTGGCTACGAGTTCGTGGTGGACGCTTGTCTCAACAACAACAGCCAATCAGAGGCCAAGAAATACGTCGACAAAGTCAAGGATGAAAACAAGGCGGAATATCTCCGGAAATGCGGGTATGTAATGCGCTTATTTTGAATTCAATATTTAATTTGTTTCATTTTGGGTTTGAACTGAAGCTGATGGCATTATTGCAGTAGGATTTAGCCCGATAGTTGTCTATTTACTCTGTGTTATATACACGTATTGAAATAAGAGCAGCGTCATCGAGCAGATTCTTAGCATTAATTATATATATGATCAAGTGTTCCAGACAATTATACAGTTCATGAGAAACTGTCATCCAAATCAGGCATGAGAAAAAAAATCAGTAGTACTCACTGCAGTAAGTGACAGAGAGCGCATTTTCTCGTCGACGAAAACGTGAAGTCATGGACGGGCAGACGGACATGACTAGCACAATAGAGCATTTTTTCCATAAATGAGAAAATGCGCTAAAAACGACGATTAATTTGCCACAATTAAATTATATATTATTTTGTGGAATACGTTCGTGCAGACTGGTTTCGGAGGCGGAGAAGTTTACTGCAGAATCTACGTCGTCCGTTCTGAACTTGGCTCGCGTCACGGGCTTCCTCAGTTGAAGAACTTCAGGCTTAGCGCCGAGTCGCCAACCGGAGTTTGGCAAGCCTGCCTTGAATTTACTAGGAGGCATTTATTTTATTTAAAAACCTATAGCGTGAACTTGTTATCATCGTTAAATATTTTCAACAGACTAGGGTAACTGTCACATTACACGTTATAATAATTTAGATTTGTTTGAATAACTGAAATCGCAATCTTTATCAATTTTTATTGAAATCTTCTTGAATGTCCTGTGAATTTTGAGCCAAATTTCAAGTAAAACTCTAACTTTTAATACAAAATGTGACTGAACTTGCTCATCAAAAATACATAGTAGTTGGTACAGAGTAATATGGTATGTAGTTATATTTTTGTTGTGTATTAATTTACTTTATTCAGCGTGCTTACATAGCTCAAATATACACATTATATTTATGTAAATCAACTGTATTATTCAGATCATCACGAACAATGCGGGGGCATCGAAAGATGTGATTAAATTAATTGCTATTTATTTCACATTTTTTGCCTGTTTCATTCCAGACGCCGACTCAAAGTTTCTGTACCGCAGTTTTTGACATTAAGCTGGTAACCAAAGACAAAGTAGAGATCTAAGTGAAGCCTTTACATGTCATATTGAGATACAGTATTCATGTATAAAAATTTCTCAAATCAATTTGGAATTATTTCTCCAACTCGGGAAGCAATCGGCCGGTTATTACATAACTGGGTCCATAGGGGTAGTATAAGTTAACTTGAAAATAATACCATTCTGATTAAAAACAATTTATTTGACACGAAGTTACATTCTTTCTTCTGCTTCTCATTTCATTGTGACTTCAGAGGTAAACGCGCTGTATTTGGCTGTGCTCCCTAGGTTCTAGACATTAACGCTGAACTTCACTATCACTTACCTTAAATTTTTTTAAACCTTTCAAGATTGAGAAGAAGGTAATTCGCATGTGAAGTAAATATGACGAACGTGTTCGCCAAAGAACCATGACCGCACTCTTGTTGAGCTGTAAGCACCCAAGCCTGGCGTCAATTTGCTTTCAGACTAACCAACATATAGCATTGCTTTTCCCGCGTCTCGCCAAGCTCAGTAATAAGAATCTTGCCTTGGTAGAAGCTAGTGCTTTTTGTTAACTAATAATAATGGATAAAGGCATTGGCATGACATTGATCAGTTATAAAGTTATTAATCATACTCCAAAACTGACAGAAAGTGAAGAGCAAAATGCCACGGGAAGCTTAGTATGACTTTCTTCCTTCGCGTCAAATTAAATATTTTTTATGATAGAAAACGAAGTATTTTTCTCAAGTTCCTCTATGCAGGAAAGACAATAAATGCACTGTCACTGCAATTGAAATATGAAATCGAATCTAATTTTAATTGCTTCGAGTATAAGTATAACATGCAGATTATATCAACAATCCTCTCACAAACTACAACAAAATTCAAAACCTCAATAAAGAAAAACGCAAAAATATCAATATTCTTCAAAAACGCTCACAACCTGTCACGTATGAAATAAACAATGCTTAGATATTATTTCGTACATAATTTAATAGCACAGCATACGAGTTTATGCTAAACAAAAATTCATTAACTAGCCTAAAAAGTACCTTGGCATTACTAAATGCGTTATCCACATGTCGGCTACATGTGTTAAATTCTAAAATTTGAAAAGAAAAGCCAGTCTCTGTTGATAGCTGCTTATCAATTCCCGGAGGTGAACACTGAGAGTAACGATACTGAAGACGAGTTCTATGAAACACTCTCAGCTGCAGATGTTGATATTGGTTCTAAACGATATAAAGTTTTTAATACAAAATGAGCACATTCAACATTGACTAGTACATATAAATCAATAAATACATCATAAACATAGCAGCCATTGGTTTATATGAATCCAATTTATGATGAAGTATTTTCACCACAAACTATACACTTCCTTATAAAATAGAACGTCAAGAAATATATAACTTCACATGGCCTTTTTCATCAACTAAATTATTGAAAATTGCTAAGAAATTTTTACTACCAAACTATCCACGGTGGCTGATTAAGCTTCGTGATTTGCACGTTGGTGAGATTAACAGGAATGTTAATAATGGCTGCGTCGAGATGCTCCGTTCGCAGAGTTTGCAGAATCATTTCACCGTTCCTAGAATTAATAAGATTCATTGTAGACTTGTTACATATGTATTCTACATGACATTCAAAACAGAATGAAAATGAAAAAACTCTTACATTAAATTCATATAAAACATTACACAGATTGTCAGAGATTGATGAACTATCAGCATAGCATTCAATAAAGAAATTCCAAGTAAAGACAGAAATATTTATTTTATAATTTCAGTAGGCAAACAATAGCAGTTTTAATTTACTTAATGTTCAATGATAACTGAGTATTAGAAAACCCACCGTCCCAGTAAAAAGTAAGCTGGAATAGATGGTTTCCTTTCAGTTCCATCTGCAATCATCTCGATGAAAGAGGTATCAGTTGCAGCATCCATATCCGTAACAATGACTGCTACAGCGCCTGCTTTCTCAACCTGAACAGCTTTACTCACAAATGAGCAAGATCTGGAAAAAAATATAAACCAATATAAACAAATTATGTTGATATAACAAAACAAATTGATTAACAAAAATACATTACAAATACAAAAGATAGAATACAAAACATTTTGATCAAAATATTCCTGGAATGATTATATTTATAATGGCTCACATATAACATTTGATGGCTCCATAAAGTAAATGAATTTAAAAATTACTTATTATTGAAACTAACCTACTTTAATCAATTAAATTATTATTATATTCAGTTCCAACCATTCATCCTTGCAAGATCCTAATTAACTGATATTTTGAATATTGGATACTGCATAACATACAATAATTTGCACAGAGTTCATACGAAATACACGAGATATATACCTACATCATTAGAATGTTGCATATGCTCTGATAACAAGCACTACAGCAGTACAGTGATTCTGATAACAAGCAATACAGCAATACAATGCATCATACCCTCCAATAACAAGTGCTACAGCATTACAGTGTATCATACCCTCTGATAATGAGCGCTACAGCAGTACAGTGACTCTGATAATAACAAATGCTACAGCAGACTGTGCATCATACCCTCTAATAACAAGCACTACGTACAGCAGTACAGTGACTGATAATAACAAGAGCTACTGCAGTACAGTGTATCATACCCTCTGATAACAAGCGCTACAGCACCATTCAGTTGAGGGCCATTGTATAGACGAGAGCAGCCATCCTCAGGATCTGCCAGAACCAATCTTAAGCCGCGCTGTGGGAACAACTGGAAGAAAATAAGACAATGTTATCTCTGTGGTGATAAATAATAAACATGACTCAATTCAGAATTGTCTATTATCAAATCCATTATGAAGAATTTGTCTCTAGATACATTTTAGGCCCTCCAAGATATGTCTGATCAGCCCGTTCTTTCGCAAGTAGTACCAGTAGTAGAATGGTTTGCTACAGCTAGTAGGTAGTATTCTGTCCAAAAGATTATGAAAAATTATTCATTATAAATACATCCAAATATTTGGTCAAAATTGCCTCTTGATGAATAAGACATGATCCATTTCCAATAAAAATTTGACAATACAAGTCTCATCTTTGATCTGAATGCATTAGAGTCTTGACAAAGAAATTTATGATAAGTACATCTCACTGAAAAAAATAGCATATTTTTGGTAACACTATAGAAGAGATCAACTTTTTACTTTTTATTAAATATTCAATCTGACAAAACCAAAATAACACTTGCACAGCAACTTACAAAATCAGTTCCAAAGTTTTGGGCTTGGCGCAATCTGTAGGTATACTGGAGGGACTTCGGGAACACTATTTCAAAAAAAGGATCATCCTCTGTGAAGTCATAGATGGTGGCCTCATTGTAAGCAACATTGGGAACTGTGGAAAATAATAAATTGTTGATATGCCTATGTAATACTTTTAAACATTCATATAAGTTCTCCTGCTCCACCCCAAATGCAAAGTTAAAAAGAAAAACATAAAATGTAATATACGTAATTTCTAGATTTCTATCTACCACCATAATAACTGATTTTTACACAACAAATATTTCTCACACTAATATAATACCTGTGAAACCCACTAGATAGCTGAAGCAGACACAAAACTTAGGTAGAAGCCACTCATAAATGAGAAAGAGACACCCATACTTGTGGACAGTTTTACCCATTCCTCAACTACTTTTTTCTAGCTTATGAAAAAAAATTAGGAAAAACAGTGTATTTTTGAATGCATTTTTTGAAAATCACCCATGAAAAGAATAAATCCTGTAAATAAAATTCTATCCAATATTCTAGACTGGGCTGAAGCCAAATCATTTTGAAGCTTACTAAATATATCAAGATTTTAAAATCTTCTAGACTTTTTCACCAGATTATCCATGTCAAAATTTATTTTTATACATCTTTTGAAGAGCTTGCCAAGGCAAATATTTTGTTATCTCTTTACATGAATTTTTAGCAAGAAATGTGGAAGATTTAGTTAGTTCTGGCAACAAATTCTAAATAATACGGTACTTGTGATATTTTTAGTAACACAATTGCTCAAGTCTGTATGATGGATTCTAAGTTTGTATGATGGATACTTAATTTAAGAAAATGATCTTAGTTCTAAGGATAAAATTAAAAACTAAGCATGATCATTAATTGATTGGCAAAACTAAGTATATACAAGTTCTTGGTTTGAGATTTTTTTCCAATAAGCTATAAATTAACTTTTGGGATAAATTAAATAAAATTAAATTAATTAATTATATATAGGTTGATGGCTGGCCTCTGCCAAAGGTGCAGAGTTAGGTAAATGCCTTGCCTATTTATACATTTGCAGACCAAAATGCATTGCCGGCAGTCTTACAGATGCATCCCATTGCATCATTGCATTGCTAACAGTCTTCAATTTGTTGCTGCTTCACTCCACTGCGAACAATTTTCATCAAAATTCTTACAAAACCAAATTTGTTGAGTGTACCTATCTTAAACATTCCAGGTATTGCAGTAGACAATTGCATTACAACTGAAATTACAGAATTGTGGATTGTGCTTTGCAGCCTCATCCGATCAACTGGGAACCAGAAATTTTAAAGATGATGCAGCCATTGATGTACCTCTTGTTCAGCAGTTAGCATTGCCAAAGATTTGGGAATATCTAAAATGCAATAATTTCAATCCATATGTGTCAGCAAGATTTTATGAAAACATAAATGTTGCTGCTAATGTGTTGCAAAAGATCTTTAGATAATCACCCACTTTCTGCACCATGGGAAATAGTGTCAAAGCAGTGACTTTTTAGACTTTTTTGTTCATTTTTTTAGTCCTCTACACAGACCAGTAAAGTATCATTGATGCAGGCTTATTGCCAGCATTAGCCAATTATACACAAGAAATTGTTTTAAATCTTGAATAGATGTGGAAATTAAAAATGAACTGATAATAAACAATCTGTTGTTGGTCAGTGGTCACTAACTCACTATGCCCTGGGGCCTGGGCCTCTGCTGTCTGCCCAATTTGAATTTACAGAAAAGCATCAGGGAATTTAAAATGAATTGTTTTCTAAAAAAAGTCTCATTTACCACCAAATATGGAAAATCAGACAGAAGTCTCCTAAAATTACATGTAATCCACACTCAGGATGATGTATGTTTTTGATGAATTTTCCCGCGCATTTCCACTTTTTTTAAGCTATTGCTGTGCACAGTTGGTGCAATGTAAGAAAATCGATTCTCTTCACAAAGTGTTCGCGCAATCCCGGCCATCAATTCTATGTCGCGCTGCCGCGCATGAGCAGTTTGTGGAGGAACAGACGTAATACTCACATTACTCAGTACCGGTACAGTATGCCTTCAATTATCTTTCAATAATATATGATTTTTCTTGATACGGAAATTTGGTGAATGAGAAATCTAGAACTTTATTTTAGAAGAAATTTTCTCCAAAATCATATGGCAACACTGAACACCATCTGTTTACATTTCGTATGTATAATAGCCGCAGTTTACGATTACCGTACGTTCCGTATCCGACAAGGGGGACAAGCAGAAGAGTCAGAAGTAACCCGGACATGTCTTACATTTTATTATTGTCAGTTCGACTCGCGTAGTCAATATACTCGCGTATATTGTCAACTAAAATAGTAGAACTATTTTAGCTTTCTAAAGTACAGCGCACGGCGCATTTTTTTACCAGCATAGTACGGCGCACCATAGTGGCAAACCAGTGATTTTTTTAGAATCAGTTCATTTTTAATTTCCTCATTTACTCAAGATTTTAACAGATTTCTTATGTATGATAATTCTGGTACCTATCCAAGATACTTTACTTTACTGGTATACTTATAGGACTCAAAAATGAACTTGAGGAAGAGTCTAAAAAACTCTCTGCTTTGTCACTATGCGGCGCACCGCGCAGGTTGTTAAAATGATGAAATAAATTCCCGCGCACTTGGCACATCTTCCTGACCATGGCATGTAATAATGTTATTTTCATAGGTGATATTTCTAAATTGCACATAAATTTAGGAAATTTTTTTGTATTTATTTCTGAAGAAATTGAGGAAGGGCCATATGAGCAGGTAAAACTGGCCTGATTCACAGGATTTTTCACTTGATTATTGGGTTGCTTCTACCAAATTTCAAAATTAGCTTTAGCATTGGGGTAAACGCGGCATATTCCGACAAAAGATCTCTTACAAAATCCGTGCAATGGTGGTTCGGTGTAATTCCGTGAGAATTTCGAAATGCAGTACTCCTGATCATTACCTTAAATTTCCAATCAGGCGTGACCTTTTCATTTATAGTCAGTCACCTGGCAGAGCACTGTATCAAAGGAAAGCTTTTCACCTTGGCCTTGGGTGGAAAGCTTTTTTATAAGTGAACTTCCATTCTTAGAATTCCAGCCTGCGGCACACACAGTGACGGAATATAGGGATTTGGTAGGTTTCCATTCTAAAGGCTTTTTAATAAATATGGCAACATTTTGTGACGTTTCATCGTTGCTGACGCGTAGTGAAGTGTTTTGAGAGTCATGTGAAGGCAACAGAACTTACGTAACGCATACGGTTTTTTTCATAGTTTTTTATTTCTTGATGCGTCCTTAATGTGTCGGAATATACCGCGTTTACCAATCATGAATTTACCAATCATGATAGCCTATATAGTGCTTTAGTAAAATACTTGTCTTTCCAGAATTCAGATCAGATGTTGAATAAACATATTGATAAAATATTACATACCTAATATTTATTTGTAAATCATATATTATTTAAATATAATGGTTCCAACTGGCAACTTACATAAATCAGTAGAAGTAAGACAAATATGCACATTAAGCATAAAACAGGTACAGTAAAATATAAATGCCCAACTGAGTTTCATCATTAATTTTTAGATTGCTTGATGCAGGGAAAATGACAAGCAGCCTTGAATCTGAAAAACCATGGAAGACCTGCCCCTACCATTTTTACACCACAAAACACATAGTTATGACAGGTTTGTTCCGAAATCCGCGCCTACGGGAATTTGAACGTCTATTATAGAATCTAGGCTAATGGTATGCTAATATTAAAATAAAAAAATTATATTTCAAATATTCATATGATGTGGAGTATTTATTGACACGCAGTAAGTAAGATGTGATTCTTGACTAGAAATATATTCCACCCTTAGCTGATTTTGATCCTCTAACAATCTTATGTCATAATGATGGAAAAACTCATCATTATATATTTATATTTTCCATCATAATGATGGAAAACTGATAAAGCTATATGAATCAATCACAATTTGAATGCTACGAATATAATTAAAAAAATTGTAATTTGTTAGCGCTCATTATATTGTGATTTATTCTGTTCAGTTTATTTTTTTCATTTATCTATTTCACGCTCCATTTTGACGCGACTGTGTGTTTACTGCTGTATCTTGCAAATGAAAGATATTCTGTACTTTTAATCACTAAATAAACTCGCATCGTGCTTCCGTTATTTTTACTAATATCTTTATTCACCTTTGCTTTGAATACTCAATTCATTGCTTCTTTTCGTATCGGTATTATTGACTTGCTATTACTGCTATTTTTATTGGTATTAATAATATAATATAATAATGCGGTTTCAGCGTTTATTAGGCCGTAGGCTGGTCGCTGATTCTTGACTTTGCAGAACATCCACAGCTGGTTGCGGACTTGAACTCGCAACTCACTGATACAAATTTTCTTTGCTTAACCGCCCGTCTCCTTGCCGATTTTGACCAAAAATTGGGGCACAGAGCTGTGATCGAACCCGAACCTCTCTTCCCTAATCCTGGCACTCTGAACTTTAACCACCGGGCCACCCAGGCCATTCCTGCCTGGGTTGGACGTTTAGTCTCTCATAAAAGCTACCTCTGAGTGGCCCAGCGGTTACAGTTCAGAGTACCAGGATTAGGTAAGAGAGGTGCGGGTTCGATCACAGCTCTGTGTGACAGTTTCTGATCAAAATCGGTGAGGAGCAAGCAGTTGAGCAAGGCAGAATTGCAGCAGGCAGTTGCGAGTTCGAAACCGCAACTAGCTGTGAATATTCTGCTATGTTAAGAACCAGCGACATGCCTAAGTCCTAATTAACGCTGAAACCGCTATATTATATTGAATATATTAATTCAGTCGTATTATGTTCCTTTCTGTCGTTAGTTTCCGTAATAGAGCATCCGGTCTCAAAAGTTTCACCTATTACACGATCTTTATTCACGTGTATTTGGATATTTAATACTTTGACATTCATTCAAGCGGGTTTACTCTGATACTACCTCGGTCTCCATTTAAGCATATTTGGTCTCCTGTTGCAATATTTTTCTTTCTAGAGTATTTTAAGCCTTTACAGCAAATATCTTCATCCGCGCGTGTTTGGTCCATTAAAGTAATTTACGCCGTGAAAGGGCTTGGGCTTCTAACTGCCGTTTACCTCAGAACAAAGCTTTGGTCCCTCGCCGCCTTATTCCTCATATAAACGAGTTACTCCCTTGCTACTGATGCATTCACAAAAGAGTGTGGACTCCTCATTGCCATTCCATCACAAAAGGTTTTGGTTCATTACCGCAGTTTTCCTCACAAAATGGTCGTGGTAACTTACTGCCGTTTTCATCATATAAGAAAAAACTTTTATTATTCTCAGAAATAGATAATATATATTATACAAAAATAAAATCCCTCACGTTTGTCTCCTTATTTTTATCTATTGCCCTATAAGCTGCAATCTTCATACAAACGTGGTTGGATATTTACAGCAGTTATCTTTATTAATATCGTGCGTGGATGTTCATCATCCAAAAATTGCCCGTTCGCCAGTTTGCAACACGAATCATGACTAAAGAGACCTTGCAAAATCGTGTCTCATTCACTAAGGAAGACCGTAATAACTTATATGCATAATGCCAATTCAGGGCTTCAGAAATAAAAAATTTGCACCGTATTAAATTAATTACTACGAAATACCTGTTAAAATTTGTCTTCACTATTCTTTTTTTGTCTTTCCTTCCAGAAAAAAAGCCCTGGAAACTTCAATATGAAACTTTCAAACAAGGTGAAATTTTACAAATGAAATGCCGCTACGCACACGACGTTTTGCACGATTTGCACTCATGACAAATCTTCGAAAATTTGCATGCAACTAACATGCGAAATTTGAACATTCTCCCGCGTAAAAATACTCTTGAATTAAAAATATTCCAACATCTGCACAAACAATAACTGGAAAATGGTTCAAAAATTCATTCATCGAAATGAATCGGTAACATTTTCAAGCAATCTAATATCTTAGCGATCTAATATCTAAACATGATCTTAGCCATAGCCCAAGTCCCAGCAGAAAGTGGACCTATTAAGATGCGCTAATTTTTCTCTTTGCTGGGCTAAATTGGTTAAGGGTGCTTGCTTATACAAGTGCAAAAAGAGTGTCAATAGTTTGGACAAAACCCCCGCACTTCTCCGAGTGAATTGTTCGGGAATAAAGAACGGGTAATGGAACACAAGCATCACCTTGGGGCAGACTAGCACTTTTACTTTCAGAGAGGAGAGCAAGGCCGAAAATTCAGGCATTCGAGCAGCGTGAATAACGTGAACACCGTGAACAGCGTGAACAGCGTGAATGGCGTGAACAGCGTGAACAGCGTGAGCAGCGTGAATGGCGTGAACAGCTACACAGCGTGAACAGCGTGAACACCGTGAACAGCGTGAACACCGTGAACAGCGTGAACAGCGTGAACAGCGTGAGCAGCGTGAGCAGCGTGAACAGCTACACAGCGTGAACAGCGTGAACACCGTGAACAGCGTGAACAGCATGAACTGCGTGAAAAGCGTGAACAGCGTGAACAACGTGAACAGCGTGAACACCGTGAACAGCGTGAACACCGTAAACAGCGTGAACAGCGTGAAAACCGTAAACAGCGTGAACAGCGTGAACAGCGTGAACTGCGTGAAAAGCGTGAACAGCGTGAACAACGTGAACAGCGTGAACACCGTGAACAGCGTGAACAGCGTGAACAGCGTGAACAGCGTGAACACCGTGAACAGCGTGAACAGCGTGAACACCGTGAACACCGTGAACACCGTGACCAGCGTGAACAGCGTGAATAGCGTGAACAGCGTGAACAGCGTGAACAGCGTGAACACCGTAAAC